CGCCCGGGAGTAAGACATCACCGCCAATATATGTCAACCTGTAAAAAAGGACAGACTAATGAAATTTCCTCATCTTTAATGGTGAACTACTGTATTTAATTTTTATCATGGGGGGTCCATCATATGCTTGTGTTTGTGGAGATGATGTTGCTTTGCCTGGAATATTTCACAGTATGACATCAACTTATCTTACATTTGTTCAACTATTTTTAAAGGATACCTAGAAAGACGTGAGTTCTTACAGTGAACAGGGTTGCATCTCCACAGATGCATCTGTGGCATCATTTCCTTGTCTCCACAGAGATAAGTTTAAGGATAAGCAAAAACTTCTCAATGGAGACAGAAAAAGAAAAGTTACAGAGAGAACCTTTAAATAAAAGTCTTTATATGTTAAATACATCATTACATAGATTTACAGGACTCTTTATCGTTGATTTTAAACTAAATATTTTGGTTTTAGTTGTATCATTATCACAACATGGTTTGAAACAAGACTAAAATGGGCCTAGATCAGAAATAAAACCGGTCTTAACCTTCACACCTAAAGTAGGATACAGTCAAATCAGGGTCAAAAATGCCAATAGAAAGACCTACACCATAATTTGAAAATTACTGCATTAAAAGAGGAGGACATTAAATAATTGCTACATCTGGGCACTTTTCTTCCTGAAAGTTCAGATTTTGTTCAAGCCTGGGGAGGAAAATGAAGCGTGACGCTCTATAAATTCACTTCAAAATCTAGGTCTATTTCTAAGCTGTCATAAACCAGCATAAACATTATTGATGTGTCTATGAATGAATATTCAGCAGTTGGGTCAAAGCAAGAAATGTCTTTGAACATGACAGGAGAGTGTGCAATTGACTGACCCTTTCAACAATGGGAAATTGCTGCACTTTTTTCACTGTATTATTAGTTAATGCAGAGTGGCTTCTATAAACTCATCCAGCAAACAACATAATAGTACACACAATGGTTAGTGGCTAGGGTTGGGTATCAAAAAGTTTTCGATACAATGCATACTTCGAAACATAGACCACAATACGATACATATCTTGATACAGTGTACTTTATGGTACACAGTGTACAATATGGTTCAAAAGAAAATAAAGGCTAAATCGTGGCTGTGATACTAAAAGTTTTTGTTAAACCAAATTTTGTGCAAAGTTAATATGAAACAACAATTTTAATAAACAAAACAGTGAATATGTCAAATGTGTGGCATAAATGAGTTTCCTTCCTCTAAACAATCAACAAAACTGTAGCGCTCTAACAAAATAATTTAGTAAAATATACTAAAAAATACTCCTGGTGATATATCAATATAGCAGCCCATGATATCGATACTGTATCATCACATTAAACGATACGATATATCGCTATTTCAATATTTTTGCACACCCCTGTTAGTATTGTGTGACATTTATACCCTTTTTTATTGGGTTAACAGAAACACCAAACTCAGTTATTGCCCCCCTTAAGGTTGGATTTGTCACAGTCTAAAAAAGGTTTGATATTGCACTACAGTACCAAAGACACCTCCAACTATGTCATCAGAGGTTATAAAACTCCCTACAATACTCCCTACAATAGCAGAGCAGACCACAATGTATTGAGTGTTCATGTCTCCAGATTATGTACGGTTAATAAACTTCAGTTATGTCAAACATCCAAAGTCTCCAGCCTTTCTTTATCACTCTCATGTTACTTCAATTATTTCTAAAAGGCTTACTTATATGACAGAGACATGAAACTGAATGTTGTCACCAAACAGGTAATCACTGCAGGCATCTGGTCACAAGCTAATTTGCAGACTCTTGATCATTATTAGTTTTTTAGATTAGTTTATTTGCATGTGGGGTCACTGGCAGTGTTGTTTCTTTTGTCAAGAATATAGTTTCATCTTCATAGTATACTGCTGTTTTGTCTATAGAGCTGAGACTGCTAGTGATTTTGATAAATAACTTTAATAGGTTTGTGAATGCTGAACCAAGATGTTTTTCAACCACCAACTGTGCCGTTATGGTGTTTTGAGAGAGAAACTCAAAGGTTCACCCAGAGCACAGTTTTTATTATGGCTCATTTGATACAAAATACACCTTATACCTGTTTTGTTTGTCCAGGTTCAAGAAAAGAATCTAATACTGCAGTGTTGTCAGCAGTCCATTTTAATCCCCTCAGTTTAGTCAGACAGTTCTTTAATATCCGAGTGTAGGATGGCTTGAAGGACATGGTGAAATGAAGAGGACAAAACAGCAACCAGATTTATTTATATATTATTTATACAGTCCTGATTACGGGTTAAATTCAGTGATGATTATAGAGTTTGAGTGTTGATTTAACACAGTTACATAAACAAAGTCCAGTTGCAGTTTAAATTATGTCAAAATCTTTTAAGTCTGTTCCCTTCAACTCTATGAATATATTGCTTCATTGTAATAAGTTTATGAATGGTGTTGCTGGCTGAGAGAACATTATTTTTTGCCAGACTTGTAGAATACTAGAATCTAAATTTCCAAAAACTGGGCCAACAATACAATTCACTGCACCTGGACTAGCACAAGTTCATTTACGTCAATTTGCTAAATAAATACTGTATTTGAGTGCACTTTGGCTCAAGGAACAACATAATGACATCCTTGTATATAAGTGGAGGTCATTACCAGGCAGCTTTATCCTGGGATGCTTCTCATGAATATGGACTTGCAGATATGGACAAATTAATTTTCTCTATAATATACAAAAAAGCCTTTAATGCACAAAAATGGATGTTCATTTGGGCTCTCTGTGCACTTTTAGCCTATTAGACTAAAAGACTTTAACTTTACCCCAGGGATTGTGTTTCGTTTCCAACAAATCTCCCTCTAATACGCACCACCGCAGCCCCCAGGTGGGCGAACGCAGTTGGAATCAGACCCGGGCCTTGTCACTGATGACTCAGACAGTCCCTCAAGCCCAACACAATTTGGCATACAGGACAGCACCGTGGCTCCACCTCAGTGTATTCATACACCGTGTGCTTCGAATATTAAACGCACAATCAGCACACACGGCTTTGGGAGTTTTCGTTGTCAAAGATACAGGCGGCCACACACCATCACAATGCCATATTAGTTAGATGTCAGGAATCAAATGAAATGAACAAGGCTGAAAGGTAATTTGCAGAAAAATAAGATTGGTTAGGGGAGTTTGATCCTATACTATACCAATGGATCTTTGGGGAGTGGATTCAACGGGCTAGTATTTATGAATAATTCAATCCAACTCTGGTTACTCCTAATGTGATTCATGTTGGGTTATGTAGAGACTTCAGTCAATTAAATTAGCATTCCAAAGATGAGATGTTTCTCCATAATGCATGTTATTTAATATATAGAGCACAAGGTTTGTATAGCGCTGAGGTGGTCTTGTCAGTGAGCAGTAATAGCTGAGTGAGGATGTTTGTCCTTAACCCAGATGTTTCTAGTTAGTTTTGGGCTACTTTGGATAAAATTTAGCTGTTTTCTTTGGACCAGACATTTACCCACCTTGCATGTTTGTATTGCATGGACTGCATGTGTGGACAAGAGAGGCCTCTGACTCACAATGGCAGCCACATCTCTATCAGACAGTTTCAGAGCAGCTAGGAAAAAAGAGTAACAGAGGAATGAATCATTGGTGGACTACAGAGCTTTGAATGTAATTCTGTATACATTCTGGTATATCACTGACACATAATAACTAAAATAACTGTCTTTTATGTCCACATATTTATATAAGCAATGAGAAATAATTTCACCTCAATCTATAGTAAGCGGTTACCTTTATTACTCTAGATATTGGAACTACAGCACCATCTGATGGCTTTAAATTAAATTGCAATTCCAATTTTCTAGAAATTGCTGGTGAATATTTTTTAATCTGGTTTTCGATTCTGCTAAACAGGTTTTGCTATAGTTAAGCGGAAACAAGCACAAAGCTATTTAGTGGAAATTAATAAATAGGAGCAATATATTGATAACATAAATGAAAAAGTAAGTTAATGAGACCTGTGTTTTCTAGGCTCAAGCTGAATCATCAGATTGCTGGAGGGGACTTCAAGGGGAATCAGCTGCAGAAATCAAATTAAGAGCAACTTTTCACCAGTTTAATTTGGCTGTGTGCTGTTTTAGTGGAGAGTAGCTGACTTTATCGGCACACTGGGCTTAATTAACTCAGAGAGGAGTGTTTACTGTCAGACAAGCGGCTTCAATTTGCTTTTGATGAATGATTGATGCTCCCCCCCGAAGGGTAAAGCCGGGAAGGACTGCAGGAGCAGAGATGCTTCTATCAAACAAATTATAAGTCAACTTAGACAGGCCACACAGC